GGTCTCTTATCTATTCAAGATGTTTGCAATAGCATGAGGACTGTGTCACACCCTGCTATTTTGTGGGCATGTGTTACATCTCCTAGAATTCAGCTTAGGGCCTGCAGGAGGCTTGAAGATACATGAGTTGCCAGAGAGTTCTGCAGGGAAGTGTTGAGATGTGGATGATGAGGACTTGAAAAGTCAGGGAGTGAAAACTGTTGGAAGTTATTGCTCTGTCTGTAGTGCTGACTCAAACCAGCTTGGGAAAGTCACTCACCAAATGTGGCTGCGGCTCTGCAGATTTGTGTGTCTGTATCAGAAATATACTCAATTCAGAACATAATTCAGCTCAGATACCTGAGAATGAAGTATAATTTTAAGAATAACAGCAAAAAAAACCCCCAAAAACAACATAGTGTGAAAACTACTCAGTGAAATAAAACCAGTTCAAATATGAGTCCTATAGGATTATACAGAGGATTACAGTTACTCTGTAGCTATTGGCTGGCTGAGCATTAATGACAGCAAGCATCACTAGTCTTCTGAATTTTTCATCCAGTTGGTTTCAGATTGCCAGATCATCTGTGTTGTTTCTTCTAAGTCCAAAATAATGGCATAGAATTAGCCACTGGCACTTTTGGAGCCACTGGTAGATACAAGGACTTCATGCATGAAGCATTAGCTGGCTCAAGTGATCTCCAAGCTTTCTATCCCCCCAGATTTGGGAGGAAGTGTGGGAACTCAGTGAGTGCCAGCTGGCCTGGCTGGTCCTGCAGTGGTTTTGAGCGAGCCTGTGGGGCCTTTGGGATTCTCCAATGACCTCTCAAGGACTTGTCATTTGAAGCTTGGCTTGAGAAACCTCTTTTCTTTTGGTGACTGAGGCAGATTTCCTAAAGCTGAGAGGTCTCAAAAGTTGTTTTGAAATTATTGTCCTGGTTACATTGATATGTTTTCATTTCTGATGGAAATCGAGGCGCTTTATTAAATTTTATTTTTTAAGTGCTGACGTTTCTTCTCCTAATGTTTTCCAATGCATTCAGCTTTTGCTAATTTATGGGCCACTGTTAATGGCCATAAATTTGACTTGACCCCTGCACAGGCAGTGAGAAAATATATTCATAGTTTTGCAAGTGCTGAACATGGCTAGGTTTCTCTCTGACATTGATTTTACCAATGCTGAAGATACTCCAAATACTAGGGCCAAACCAGTGTTTGAAAAAAAACAAACCTGGTCCTCCTTTATCTGAGGACTAGTTTCAGTACAATTTAGTTTTCTTAAATGACTTTAGGCATCTAAGTCTGAAAGGGCATGAAAATAGGTCAGAAAGGTAAGAAATTTTCTAGGATTTTAAAGTGAAAGTGTCTGTGTAGCACATACCTGGAGATCAAACTGTTATTTCCATCACAGAAAGAAATTTTAGCTGCAGAGGGTTTCTTTTGAAAGAAGGCAGAGATGGAGAAAGTGATACGCGAAGTGCTTTTGGCTTGATTTCCACTATTAATGTGTCTCTTTACTGCAACCACAGATTCTAGAGAGTTTTTAATATGCAACCTCCTCTGAGATTCCTTCTGTTAGTGGCTCTTCTCAGACCAAGGTAATTTCTGCGAATATTCTTATGGATCTGGGTGTTGTTACCTGAATGACACTAAAGAAACTTCTTTTTCTAGAACAAGTCCGTTTCCTCTGTGAGTTGAGTTAATATGTGGTAGGGTGGGGCTGTATCCCCTCTGTCTCTGAGACATGTAAGCCCAGCAGCAGACAGCAGGGAATGTGCTGAAGCTTTGTTGCAGATTTTGTTTTCCCCAGAAAATCCATCATATGTGGCTGCTGAGCAGAGCCAAGAAGCAGCCTTGACAGTTCTCTGCTGTTTGATGTCTGTCTCATCTCTGAGCTGTGTAGGAGTTTGCAAAGGCAGATTAATATTTAACATACCTGGAGCCTTTGATCTTTCAGTTGGAGTCTGGATACATCTACAGCCTCATAAAATGCAGACAGAGGAGATGATGCTGCCTTTTATTCACTAATGCAGAGGCAGGATCACTACAATTTCAATTTCTTCTTCCCACTCAGGCCATTTCATTTCACTCTCCAATTTGTCCGTCAAGAATCCTTATCACCAGTCTGCCAGGTGCTCATGCTGAAACTGCCTAATGTTCAGGCTTTCATCTGGGTATCTGAGCCACTTGGCTTTGTCTGATCTTCTGAATCCTGAAGTGCTCCCTTTACATAAAAAGGTGGGATATCCTGCCTAGGATGTCCTGCAGGCTGGTGACCAGGTGTTCTCCTGGAAAAGGATTGTTTTGTCTAACTATCTTGTGAAGTGACCTTACTAACATTTCATATGAAGTTCAGAGTCGCACCCCAAGGCAGCACAGAATCTGAAAAACATGAAAGCTAAAACCTAAGGCATCATCCAGGCTGAACAGCTGCAATTCTCTCAGCCCATTTTTGTAGGAGAGGTGGTCCAGCCCTCTGATCATCTTTGTGTCCCTCCTGTGGACACATTCTAACAAATCCAGGCATGGCTTTATGGTGAACCTTCTCCCCTAGCTCCTGTTCCTCATCCTTGAGTGGCAAAAGTCAATTTTGCCCTGTACTCTTGAGAATCCTCAAGTGAAAATTGCTGCAATTGTGACAAAACTTACCATGGTTTGAATATTTGAGCAGCAGTTCCACACTCTCTTAGGTATTCTTTCTGGTTGGCAAAGCTTGTCTATGAACTGGCTTATGCCTGACCCACTATAGGACTGCATGACAGGTTGTGGAAATCCTCAGATGGTCCCTGTTCCTCCCTTTCCCCACGGGAAAATTACCCAGGATTACCTTTTCCCCAGGGTTTCCTGCCCTACTGTAGCCCATTAGACTATGACTGTATCGAGATCTCTTGACCCAAGAGCTCTTCCCAGCTCTAAGCATAGATATAATCTTTTAAGGTGTGGTCCTCCAGCTGCAGGTCTCTCTCCTTTGGAAAGAAACCTGGGGAAAAGATTTGGGTCAGAAGGGACTCATAGCATATACAAGTCTTTGCACCAGAGCTGGATGTTCAGTAAGAACTGGGGGGTGTATTGTGGCATCCCCCTGTCCCTCAATGTGGATGTAGCAAGATGTGGATGTAGCAAGGGGGTTGTGAGGCACAGAAACCTGGCCTGTAACTCATGCAGTGCCCTGCACACAGGAAGAAGGAGACAAAGTCTGCTTCCATCAGATTCCCTTGCTATGGTCTCCTAGGGGAAGCACAAACTGGACAGTAATTCAGAGGGACAATTTATTCACCCAACTCCAAAATCATCTACTTGGCCTTGCTGCTAAGACATCTGTTATGCCAGTTAATACCTTCAGGCCATCCCAAAGATAACAGTTCCACTCTCCTAGATCCCAAACATGTTGAGGCATACAGACCCACATACTGGTCCCACACCTGTGCCTAATCCTGCTTGGCTTATTTTTGAAGGGATTCAGGGAGTGGAAATAAATATAGCCCAGTCTTCTTGCCCTAGATGTAAAATGTATATGCCCTTATGGTGGCTATAAAAGATGATAAAAAACCTGTTATGACTTTCAGCTTATTTGTGTGCTACTGAGTTCTGGTTAAGGATAGACTAGAAAAATGTATCAGAAATACATAAATAACACTTTTGTCAAAGTATTTTTACAGGCCTCCTAAATACTGGCTTTTTACACTCCTTTCATACAAACTCAATTTCTGTTTGGTTGTTTTCTGGGACATCTCTTCACAGCATAATTTCAGGCTAGCTATTTCACTTGTCAGCTTAGACTAGGATATGTTTCAAAGGTGATTCTCTTCAGGAGTTATTGAAGACTCTGATTCAACTTTATTGAATGATACAGTGAAATCTTACCCGCCTTCCCCCCTCAATGACTTATATGAGGGCTATTGTATCAGACAATTTGCCTGGGCACAATTCCAGTGCTCAGGTAGGTGGGAAGTGAATTTTCAGGCCTTTGAGTTGGTCTCATCTGTTACTGAATTGCCTCTTTAGAGCAGTATCCACTCTAAGTGGGAACTTAGTACTGACTACCTTCAGGGCAAGGCCAGGTGGCCAAGAAGGCCAAAGACATCCTTCCCTTTATCAGCAATGGTGTGGACAGCAGGACCAGGGCAGAGATTTTCCCCTGTACTTGACACTGGTGAGTTTACACTTCAAATTCTGTGTTCAGTTCTGGGCCCCTCACTGCAAGAAGGACATGGAGGTGCTGGAGTGTGTCCAGAGATGGGCAACAGAGCTGGTGAAGGGTCTAGAGCACAAGTCCTGTGAGGAGTGGGGTTTAGCCTGGAGAAAAGGAGGTGCAGCGGAGACCTTATTGCTCTTTACAATTACTTGGGAGGAGGTTGTAGCCAGGGTGGAGATGGTCTTTTTTTCCCAGGTTACAAGAAATAGGACAAGAGGAAATGGCCTCAAGAAGTGCAAGAGGGAGTTTAGATTGTATATTAGGAAAAAATTACTTCATGGAAAGGGTTGTCAAGCACTGGAATAGGCTGCCCAGGGAAGTGGTTGAGTCACCATCCCTGGATATATTTCAAAGACATGTAGATGTGGCACTTGGGGACATGGCTTAGTGGCAGACTTGGAACCCTGGGTTAATGGCTGGCTGATGATCTCAGAGGTCTCTTCCATCCTAAGCAATTCTGTGATTCTAAGCCTACATGCTGCATTATCTCCTTTCACCTTTCCAGATAGCTGCCTCCAATGAGAAATCATGCACACAGAATTGCCTATTATTAGCATTGTTTAATCTCCTTGTTTAATTAAATTTATCCTGAGCTTTATCCCATCCAATCTAACAGTAAAAAAAACCTGCTAAATGTGCTGCTGCCTGTTTCATGTGTGTCTGAGGAACATATAACCTGCTGGGAGGAGCTGCACATGTGCTTCTCATGCTGTGTGGGTTATGGCACACAAATAAATATTGTGTTTGTAGTGGGATGCTGCATGTGTTTAGAAACTGTTGAAAGCCTTTGGAATTCTTATAACTGTTTTTTCATTCTTTTGTTTAGGAGTCAGTGACCTGTAAGTGCTCATTATGAAGAGAGATCTGGTTTTCTTGGTGACTCTAATTAGCCTTGCCTTCCTGTCACTGCTGAGATCTGGATATCCTCAACACATTGCAGAGGAGTCCTGCTCTGTTCAGATTCTTGTTCCAGGCCTCAAAGGTAATGTGAAAGCCTACTCCATTATTCAAATATTAATCTTTTTGTTCTAACAGGCTCATTTGCATAACTGACAGTTTTAACTGAGACAAAGAAGTTGTCCTCTCAGTTGTCCTCTTATTTGTCCCTGTGTGTAGCCTCCTTAAAAATGGAGTTTTAAGGTCCATAAGGTGAAATGAAATATTTCAGAGAATGCATGCCAGTTTCCCAGATTTGCTTGTGATCACTAGTGCTTGTTACTCTTATACATTGCCTAGTTGCTGTGTGTTTATACTGAGCAGTGGTACACATACCCAAAAACTGTAAAATCAGGACCTACTTTATACCTGGAGAGGTTTTCATTTCCATTTTGCAATGTAATAGGAATTATTTTGTGTTTTCTTGTCTTTTGTTTGTCTTCTTTTGATTTTTTAAAAGCTCAAATACCTCTTAGAAGAAAGCAAATATTAGTTAGGTTTTTGGCATTTCTATAAGGGTTTTTTTGAAAAAGGCAACATTTTTAAAGAATATGCCCTCATACTCTTGCCCAAAGAAGGTGGCATAATAAATTATTGATCTTTTAATAGGAAAAAATATATCTTGCATAAGAAATCAACCACTGTGAAGAATTAACATTTTAAAGCAACAGCATCCATTATGGTTGTTGAAATCCCAGCCCTGTTTAGTCAATAACAATAATTCTCCTTGTGGAGGCTTTGACATTTCTGTTGAAATACATCACTTTTGAACACGGGAAAATACTTTTTAACTAAGGACAAAAAAAACCCATGAAAACCACCAGTTTATCATCAACACTGAAAAAAACCAAACAACTCCAGCATTGTGTAAGACACACACAACAAACCTTTCAGTTTTTCTTGTAATTATGCCTTGTAGTGTCACAAAACCCACCTAACCACAACTGCTGCCATTGATCTTATCTGTACAAATCTGGGCTTTCCCGAGTTGCCTGAGAGCCACAGTGTGGACTGCAGGCATTGCCTGTTCTGGTTAATGGATTGGGAAGGGTGAAGCTCAGCTCTGTTCTGCAGTTGTTCACACAGCTAAACTGAGAGCCCAGCTTGGCTAAGGGGTTTGGCTGGGGTGTAAACTGCCCTCTCCAGGCACTGCCCAATTTGTGTGTGGCTGCCCTCTGCTTGAGGCAAGAGAGCTGGGCTACAGGGATGCCGGCTGTGCTTAGCCAATTGGCTTTAAGAATATGTTTATTTCTTAATATTTGTTATTGCTTTGTCTATTATTGTTATTATAGATGCAGCTTTGGATGCCTGAACTCAACCAAAATCTAGTCTTTACTTTTACTTTACCATTTACTTCAATGAATGGCTTTTGATCTTAATAATGTGTAGAGTTTCTGCAGATTTTCTAGTTAGAGAGAACAACACTATATGCAGGCCTTCTGAGGCTTAACTAAGGCTTGGGTAAAGTTGTTTAATTTGTTTGGTATATTTACTGTGTAAAAGGCATAGGATAGTGCTCTTAATGTGACTTACAGAGGAGAACACAACCAAGTTAAATAGATGTTGTCCAAATTTGCATGAAAGATCAGTCAAAGGGTCAGATTTCACAGCCCTAAGCTTTGAAAATATTTCTCATATCAAAAAACTTGACAGGATGAGTTTTGTGACTTCTTTACATTGACTTCCTATTTTTGTAATCAGTCAAAATCAGCATCTATGATTACCATTGTAATGCAAGAATTATTATTATTATTACTACTGCTACTATTATTATTATTATTATTATTATTATTATGTGCAGCAGAGGTTTTTAAAGTGTGTAAACTGTGCAGAACCCTTTGGCAGATGACAATTCTGAGCATTGAAACAAGAGAGGAGCCTGAAAACCACTGTGTATTAATGATTTCACTCTATTTCATAAGATATAACCTTGCAAAATTGAGAGAGATTGATGTACAAATTCAGCGAAGGACAAAATGGCCTGATACAGACCTAGTTAATGTGAAATCCCTAAGAAGCTTTCAATGCTCCAACCATGCTGTCAGGGGCACTGGCTCAGAGAGGTGGTGATGAGACATTGCTGACCCTCACTGGCACAACTCCAACCCATTTCACTGGCCAAGGCTTCCTTTAAACTGAGCACACGTGTGGCCACATGCCCAAATTTCAGCTGCCATGCAGCAGGATTTGCTCACTTTTGGATCTGCACCATCTCCTCCTTCTTCCCTGGGCTGCCAGCAGCATCTCCAGTGGTGGAGAAATAGAGTGCCACACTGCTGCTGGGCATGGCTCTGTCAGAATCTGGGAAAAAACAGGTACAGGGAAAAATGTGAGAAATAAGGGAGACCATGGGATTTGTGAATGGCAGAGGATAGACACTTAGGAGGTGGTGCAAAAAGTGGAGCCCAAATGGGATGATGAAGGAGAAAATCATCAGGGAAGAGTACACAGAAGCAGGGGAGTGTAAAGGAGGGATTTTAGAAGAACAGAAAGAGATAATAGAGGAAAAACAAAGGAAGAAGAGCTCAAGTATCAGAGTGAGTGGAGAGTCTGGAAACTAAATAAATGTAAAATGACACAAAATCAATTAAGATCCCACAGAGCAAAAGAGAAAATCAGAAGGGGCATGAGATGAGAATGGAGGTGGAAATGGATGAGGAAGAAAACTAGTAAAGACACCAAGAATAGTAAAAGCACAAATGAGATTAAAATCATCAGTTTAGGTCTTAAGGACAGGTTTTGGTGGTTTGGTGGGTTTTTTGGTTGGTTGGTTGGTTTGGGTTTGGGTTTTTTGTATGTTTGGGGTATATTTTTGTTTTGGTTTGATTTTTTTGTGGATTTTGTTTGTTTTTTGTAGTAATTTTGGTGGGGTTTTTTAGGGGGGCAGGTTTTGGTGGGTTAGTTATTTTTTAAACTCAAGAGTATAAAGGAGTAAGATGAAAAGTGTTAGGGGAAAAACCATGGCTGTGAGAATGCAGACTGAACCATGTTTTAGAAAGCCAGCAATATTAAGAAAAGTGTGCTGTGTGTGAAAAAGCAATGGATGATGAAGCCTCACTACACAGATCACTCATATTCTTCCTAAGTCCAGTTTCTTTTGATAGGCACATGAAATTGAGGTTACTACTAATGTGGAGAAAAAAAAAACATGGAACAGTCCTTCAAAGCTTAAATTCTCAGCTTGCCATCTTGTTTTGTCTCCCTTCTAGAGTCTAAAGCAGGAGTTGTCTTAATAGTCTCAATGATGTTCAATACATAAAAAAGTTAATGCTACATTAAAAATCCCAATTTTTTTACACCCACACTTGATGCATCTACTCACATGGGGAATATGAGTAATGGAAAGAAGTTATCACCAGGCAGGAATGCTTAACAGCTCACATAGTTTGGCAGAGCTAAATTTCTTTTAGGAGTATGGGGCATCTCAGCACTGTGGAGCACTACTAACTACATCTCGCCCTGTCTCAGCTGCAGAGACAATGCTGCATTGTGCTGACAGAGAAAGTGCTGCTTCCTGCAGTGGGGCTGGAGCAAATATCCAGGGAGGGATGGAGAGGAGACTGAGCAAGAGGTGCAAGTGCTAAGGGACTGTGGCTGGTGGAAGAGGCCACAACAGATCAGTCAGGTAGGGACCATAATGCACAGATCCCAACCTCCTGCTCTGAAGGGCCTTGGTTGTAAATCAAGGAACTGAAGACCAGAAAGGAGGCACAGGGATGTCTTTCTTTATTTCACAAATCAAGAAGTTAATCGTTATTGGTTTTTGGTGAAAAATTAAATTGATTGAAATGTCTTGACAGAAAATTGTTTTGTTGCCCATGACACCTACACAGCCTTTACTTCCTCAATTTTCACAATGCTCAGGGTACAAACAGCAAGAACAGGGACTTACACAAGGTGAAGCTGTGCTGTACCACTGATCAGTCCCTCTTGGCCAAGGTCTTGCACCTTAAAAGAGCTGATAAGAAAAAAATGTCGACTGGTCTGTAGCTGGGCCTGTAATGGAGTAATCTCCTCCTGGAGAAAGTTTTTAAAACACCCACACTAAGGAATGCGGTGTCATCGTATTATAAGAATAAATGCAGGCAAGTGTAATGGCCTGAAGCAAGAGTGATCTATTTTATTGATCCCTAATGCACAGCTTTCACTCTGAAGAACGTGTAAAGCAATAGGCTGTAATAGCCTGCTCTCAGCCTCCAGAGAGCAAGGAAAAGTCATTGTCAGGATTTATCTTTGGGAAGCAAAGAACTCATAACCAGCCCTGAGGGGTGAAAGGCAATCATACAAAGCCTATTGGTTACTTGATAATAAAAATGTGACGTTCCCAAATGTGCCAAATTATAGCCTGTTTCATACTAACAATATTATTCACTGGGGGTTATGTGAAATTTGTCCTCATTAAGGACAGAGAATGGCCTATTTTTGCATGTCTGAAGGCAGAGAAGATGGTCTGGAGCAGCCTGAAGAATGAAAAATAACAGATGGAGGGCTGAGCTCTGCTCACAGCCACCTAGGTCTACAATAAAGAGAGATGAAAAGTGAACTGGAGGCTGCATATTTGAAATGTGCCATGGTGTGTCAGATTTTTGTCATCTCTGTGACTCCTCTCTGAACCACAGTTGCCAGCTATGCCAGAGAGCTGGGCTTGTGGGGTGCATGACAACCACTGACTTTCCTGCTGTGGTGCTCCCATCAGCTTCCTGGAGAGCAGCTAAAGCTCACTCTCCTCCAAAGAAAAACAGTGTTTGGATATCATAAGTGCTGTGCTAACTCTGGATCTTACATACCAGCACTTTATTTTCTGTGGAAGCCATAGGCCTTTCTTCTCCTTCCTCATATAAATCTTGTTTTGTCAAGGTGGCTGTATAAATAATTCCTTAACCTTCTGTTTGTCAGAGATTTTAATTTTATGTCAATAGCAGACTACAGTCGTAGTGTAGCTGTAGTGGGCAAAACAAGCTAAGCATCTCCAAATTTTTAATGAAAGGCACTAGGGAGGCAAACACTTTTTACAGAAAGTGATGTTCAAATATGCTGAGTATAATGATGTACCACAAGCTATGTGCATGTAAATACACTACATAGTGGTTCACACCTCAGAGATTAAAAAGCATGGTATTTAACTGAGGATACAAAGTAGAGAGTTAATGCTTTCATGCTTAAAAGTGGTCCTCTAATGATGGATGTAGCTGTGCCTTCTTATAGGTCTATATAAGAAGAGGATGCTCATAAAAAAATGGCATTTTTTTCTTTTAATTTGAGGTCATAGTTAAGCCATTTTCACTTGAGACTTAAGCATGTCCTTAGCAGAGAATTGGAAAGAGTTTGGTGAACACAGAAGTTTATGTGCTAAGTTGGGAACTGACTCTGAAGCTTCTGCTTAAGTGAATTGTGCTGTTGGCTTTTTGAAGGTCAGTGATATAAGTAACATCCACAAAACTAGACCTGTTGTATGTTGTATGAGACTTCAGTAATGTATTGACAGGGTTTTCCAGTGTCTGCATCCATTGATGAAAAATCTATTTTCTGTCCATCAAGTAAATCTTTTAAATCAGATCACACCTCCTTCTATTTTTTTCACTGGAGAGAATGGCATTCTTGTCACGGCTGCTAACAGAAAATAGTCCTGGTTTAATATGATTCTTCTTTTTGTTTACTTTTGTATCAACAGGGGAGGCTGGAGAAAAGGGGGAGAAAGGTGCTCCAGGTCGTCCAGGCAGAGTTGGACCTCCAGGAGAAAAAGGTAACTTTGATAAATAAGATATTTTTGAAGTAATTCCTGAGAAAATGCTGCTTTTTCTTGTGAGATGGTGAGGATGGGGGTCCTTGCTCCCTTAACTAGGTGACTAGTTCATCCTTGGCCATTTCTGTTTGGGGTTGTGGTTTAACCCCAGCCAACAGCTCAGCCCCACATAACTACTCAGTCACATCCCCTGCTTTGGATGGGGGAGAGATTCAGATGGGTAAAAGTGAGAAAACCCATGGGTTCAGATAAACTTTAATAGGGAAAGCAAAGGCCGCATGCACACAAGCAAAACATAACAAGGAATTAATTCAGTGCTTCCCAAGGGCAGGCAGGTGTTCAGCCATCCCAGGAGAGCAGGGCTCAAGTGATGGTGACTTGGGAAGACAAACACCATCACTCCAAATGCCCCCCTGTTCCTTCTTCTTCCCCCAGCTTTACATGCTGAGCACAATGCCATACATTAGGGAATTTCCCTTGGGTCAGCTGGGGTCAGTTGTCCTGCCTGTGTCCCCTCCCAGCTTCTTGCGCACTCCCAGCCTCCTCACTGGTGGGGTGGGGTGATGAGCAGAAAATGCCTTAATCCTGTGCAAGCACTATTCAGCAATAATGAATGTTTCTGTATTATCAACCCTGCTTTGGTCACAAATCCCAAATATAGCACCCTCTGAGCTACAATGATAAAAATTAATTTAATTTAGCCAAAACCAGTACAGCTATATGCACTTGTTTGTAGCCTAAGTATTATCTTCTGGTTAAAAATATATATTTTGGAACTAAAAAAAACCCCACCTCCTATTAGATCACAGGGGAAAAATTCATAAGGCAATTTTTTTTTTTTTTTTTTTTGTGAATTTGAACACTCACAACATCTTAATTAAAACCATTGAGGGAAGGCAGTAAGCCATAATAGGCAAAGATGAACATGAGTATTCCCACATTTTTTGGATTTGGGGAAATGGTGATAAATTTGTTTGCATTGTAGTTCAAAAAATATTTTGAGATCTTGAGAGGAATGGTGCTCAGCAGTATTCAGTTATGCAGCTGAGAGAAACATAGCACTTCTATCTTGCAGAAAATTCTGTTTTTTCACGTTTGTTTTCCTTCTCAAGCAAGGAGGAAATTTGATCTTCATAAGTTTTCCAGAAGGTTTGTGTTCTGAAATGTTCAAATTAGTAGGAGTCAAATCCTTTGATTTCAGTACTGAAAATAAAGATTGACATTCCTGTCATTAGAAGGTTAGAGTTAGCTTTTACTGAACTGAGTTAAAATCTTTCTTTCAAAGCAGTTGTAGAGATAATTTATACTTCCTTGTGATGATGCATGATCTATTATGTTGTTCTTTTAGACCATTATGGAAGTCTGATGCTGATTGCCCTGGGACCAAAATTCATAGCTAGAGCTCTTCCTCCTTCAATACATTGAAAATTTTGTAACTTCCATGAGGGGTGTGTGTGTGTTCAGTCAGTGTATTTCCCTTATGCAGATGTACTTTCAAGGATGACTCTTAGAAAAAAAAATATTGGAAACTAAAATTTCAGCTCTTGTAAGGCAATGCAGCCTGAAGTGTAGTATGACAGAATATTTTAGTTTAAATGGTTGTAAAGAGCTCATCTAGTCCAATCTCCTGCCTATAAACAGGGCAGAATTCAATATCAGAGCAGGTTTCTTAGGGCCTTGTCTGTAGACTTTTTTTCAAAAGTAGGCTTTTGAAAATCTCCAAGGATGGAGATTCCCCATAAATTTTAGTCAAACTGTTTCACTGGTGTCATCATGAAAGACCTATTGTAGCTTGTAATCATTGCATCTTGCCCTTTCTCTGTGTGTCTCTGAGAAGAAAGGGCTGCATCTTCTCTGGAAACTGCTTGTAAATAGTGGAAGACTGCAATTAAGTTCCCCCCTTACCTTTCTGTATTCCAAGCTAAGAAAAACCATCTTCCTCAGCTGGACTTGACTTTGCTTCTTGTGTGTGAGGGTCCAAAAGTCTCTGGGCTCTCTAAGACAAAGGAGGTTTTTTACCCAGCCACGGGCCAGACTTCATTGAAGTGTTGCAGGTGAGGAACTCAGGGTCTGGCTGAACCCATGATATTCCTGCCGACGCATTTCTGCAGCTTGTCCAGCTCCTCCTGACTGGCAGGACCACCCTCCAACGCACCACCATCCCTGCCAGCATGGAGAATCTTCTACTTCTTCCTCCCTTTCAGCAGTGAAGGACTCCTTAGCAGCTGCTGGTTAGACTTTGGCAGCCTTGCAGCAGCACCAGCTAGCCCTCTCAGCACCCTTGGATGCCATGGGCTCATGTACATCCAGGTGAAGTAGTCCCTCACTCAATTGCCAGCTGCCATGAGTAGCTTGTCCTCCCCAGGTCTTTGCTACCAGACGTGCAGAACTGGGAGGCCAGAGAGCAGCCCTTGCCAGAAGAGACAAAGGCAAAGAAAGCACTCAGTGCTTCAGCTTTCTCTGTGTCCTTTGCCATGAGGTTGTCTTGACAACTTCTTCAGAACCTCTCTCATCATGCTGTCTTGCATTTTTCTATATCTTGGCATATTGTCATGTCACTTCAAAATGCTTTGGACCATCTGAGATGTGGAAGTACTCTTTTTCAGTCAGGGCAATCCATGATGTAGCCTTTCATTTATTTATTTTCTACTGTAAAATTGCTTTTGTTTGAAAAATAGTTCTCATAAGATATGCTTGATTAATGCTAATAATAGTGTTAATTTTCTAGTTTTTCATACCTGCAAAAGTCCAAAATTCTGATGAGAGTGAAAGAAGAAACACTGAAGTGGAAACACACTATGAGAAAACATAAATGAAACAGAAAAGAGATTAAACAAAATTGAATACTAATGCATGCTGTATTGGTGTTTTTCCAGGTAGTACTTTCAACTAAACATAGGCAAAATTTCTTACTACTTCTGTAGCAATATATTTTTCTGCTTTCTTTTTTGCATACAGAAATTTCTACAAACAAGCTCTTGTTTGAAGTTCTAATAAACCAGTCCTTTCATTAATGCTGTACATTTTGTAGACATTTGTCTTGATCACGTCCTTTCCACAAATATTTTGTCAAAGAAAATAACACAGATACCTTACAAACAATTTGGATTATATGGCACCACTTTTCATCATGGTACTACATCCAGTACACTTCGAATGTCACAGTGTTGACTGGATAAGCAAACAGACTTCACAGATGTAATTTCTGGTCTGTGGAAAGGACACAGAAGAATATCCAACTTTGACCTGGAAAAACCTTTCAGTCTCCTGACCCTTCAGTCTCTGGTTAGCCTCCACAGATTATGTGTAATGTGCAGACCTGTAGCTGAATTCATGCATAAATATTTTCTAGACTCTCAAGCTGCATGAGACTGGGTATATTCTATTCCAGCAGACCAAGGATTTTCCTATTTCTAACCCAGAAGATGGAACATTTAGACAAAAATAAAGTATAATAATGTTTGGCAAAAATCATTGTTCCTTCATTTTGCATTTGCCCCTAAAAACACCCATGGACAGCAGCCCTGCTTCTGTTCAGTATCTGTTCAGTTTCAGTCAGTGTGTTAGTATGTGTTCAACCTCTTGTATTTATCTTGAAGCATGATAATTTTTGTCTTGGTCTAATATTTGGCTCCTTCTGTTGATGCAAGCTGTTAAATTCCATTTTATTTTTCTCCTCTTTGAATAAGTGATGGTTTACATGAGGGAGAAACTGTAATCCTTCTGCCACATTTGTGGAATTTTATACTTTTGGTCCTAATTTACATTATCAAAATCACACTAATCTTTTTTCTTTTTTTTCCCTTTCTTTGTTTCATTTTTCTAACAAGATCATCTAAGAAAATGTGTTTAGTTTCTTTGAACTTCATAGGTGTATAATACCATAAAATAGCTTACAAAAGAAACTATCTTATGGAATATTTGACCTGAACAGCTCAAGATAACAAAGTGTTTCAGATATTTTTATCATATCTTTCCTCATTATATTTTCAGATTTTGGTAACTCAGAAAAATTAAAACTTTCTAGTGCTTACCTGAAATAAATCTTGTTCTGGCTGTCTTGATGCTTCAGGGTGACATCAGAGATACTGTTGTCTTTGGGTGCTGATTAAGGTTAAATTCCACTTACTTTGCTCATTGCTTTTAATTAAGTGTATAGGTCAATTATGATGCATAGCATGTCAGCAGAATATAAAACTGTGCTGGCCTTATGTAAAGCATGGAGCACTGGGTCGAGTACAATGGCTGTTTCAGATGAAAGCAGTGTGTACTGCAGCACAAGTTTTGGCCTGTGAAGTTCACAGAATTGCCTTTCCCCACTTTCACTGATGTCTGTACTGTGCCCTCCCATGCTGGGAGTGAACTCAGTTATTTAACTGAGTCCTAGTGCAGTGTGTAAGGCCATAACTTCCTTGTTTTCAAATTCCACACAGATAGTTCAGTATAGTAAAAGCAGTTTAACCCCAAAGAAAGGGAGAAATGATACATCTGACTCCATGATATTAGAAGGCTAATTAATTACTTTATTGTACTCTATTATTCTATATGATATTACTCTATATTACACTACATCTAAACTGAATCTGCACAAGCATTCAACTCCACTTGACTGTGCAGAATCTTGTGGCTGTCAGCTGACAGTCCCAACACACACACCTGGATTCAATTGGCCAATGAATCAAAATATTCACACCAGAATCTAGTTACCAATTCTCTTCAGGTAGACAATCTTCCACAATGCATTCCACTTGGAGTGGAATGCATTGTGGAATGCACTCCAACATAGGAGCAGTAAATGAGATAAGAATTGTTTTCTCTTTCTCTGAGTTTCAGAGAATTTGAATTCCAGAAAATCCAAGCTGTGCCTTGATTTTCTCTGTGAAAAGAAATGTGGCTACAGTTCAGTAACAGTACCATCCTGTGAATATTCCCAGAGTGTCTTACAGCAATCAAAATAAGGAGAGCAAACTGGGTTTACACTTGGAATATGACATCAAAGGAACATAACATTAAAATTATGTTCTTCAAGATATTTAAATTTTCTTAGAGCCCTAGCCATTTAAAATGTATATTATTGTAGTATTTTAATTTCAGCCTTTATACATTGTACTTAATTTATATACAACTATAATGGTATGTGATACAGTCTCACATACTGTTCTTGGGCTTGGAACTCAACGGTCTCTACCTCTGCAGTATTAACACAGTGATTTTGGCTTTTTCCATCTAACACTTTCCCAGGTGTATTTTGGGTGCTAACACAATGAGCAGCTTGCAAGATTATCTTGGCTTGAAGAGTAAGACATTTAGTATCATGTATGTTACTAGTCCCATTCTTGACTACCTGGTTTCCACTGCCAGGGAATAATCCCAAGCATTTAGTTTACTAATACAGGCACAGCCTCTTAAGTAGAAGACTCATTAATTTATCTGGATTGGAGCCAGAGTGCTCAGTCATTTGTATAATCAAATTCTAAAAAGAGGTAATAATATCTTAATTTATATTTTATTATTACTGATTGCTCATTAATATGTAATCAATCAATCCTTTGCATTTCTGAGTCAATTTCTACATGAATTTATTGCTCGCTAAGGAGTGCTGCAGGCAGTATTCCATATAAAAGTCCTGACATTGACAGCTGTGAATTCACAAAGTGGGTATCTGGTTCAAAACTGTCTTTTAGTTCCACCTGAACTCAATAGGATTTTGAGAAAATCCTGCTAAACTGAGTGGGCAAAAAGGTGGCAGATGGGCTTCAATGTAAATAAATATATTGCCTAGGGAAATTAGGGATGCATGATTTAATCCATACTTAAATGATGCCAAAACCCCAAACTGTCACTTAAAACTCAAGGATTGCTCTGAAGTCATTAGCAAGAGTCCCAAGGCCAACAGAACACTGCCCATCATCACAGAAGGATGACAAAGGGACAAAGGACAAAACAGGAAGCTTTGGGACCTCCAACATAAAATGCACATGGACCTGCTGGAGCAAACCCAGAGGATAGCCACAAAGATGATCAGAGGTGGATGGAACACCTTGAAGACAGGCTGAAAGAGTTTGGCTTCTTCAACATGCAGAAAAGAAGGCTCCAGGGAGACTTTTAGAGCATCTTCCAGTAAAGAGAACCGACAAGAAAACTGGAAAGGGACTGTTTACAAGGGCATGTAATAACAGGACAAGGAGGAATGGCTATATCCTTTAAAAATATAATTCTCATTCAAGTCAGGCAATCTATTTGCATTGGGAATGCTGACTGCTGCAAGACTATTGAGGTGCACTGGGGGAAAGACTTTTTAATCTTCATCTATATCTTATGTTCTTTTCCTAAGTGTCCTCTGCAGTTTGCTGTAAAAGATGGCACTAGATTCAAGAGACCTTTGGTGTGGTTTGGTACACTTCCACTTTCCTTGTTAGGTAGGTGTCTGTGTCATGTCTCTATGTCAAATCATGGATTTGATTTGATTTGTCTTAAAATCCTTAACAATGGGAAGAAAATTACTGGTCTCTTCTTTTTAACATGATTCGATTAAATTTGTCTGTGACATGGTGAATTTTCATTTCTGCTAGATTTGTCTGTTTGACGCTTTTTTCTTTTTGGAGGTTGTTTTATATCTTCTTGTCTGTTCCAAATAATCCTGAAGAGGTTGCCCATCCTCTGTGACCCCCATTTATGTTATGGCACAGAGTGAAACCCCTCATTTTTTTTCATTTGTTTTGCAGCCCACCATTCATTTCTGGAATTTTATTTCTTCACTTGTTTGTGGGCCTGAAAAAGCCACAAGAAGATCATTTAGAATTTCCTTCTCTTCAGTTCCTTCCCAAATCCTTTAAATCTTCTATAATTGGTTCCAATGTATGCCACCTTCATCTGAGAGATGACTGACTTTCTTCAGTTCTCTATTCACTCTTTGTGTTTGATTTCCTATTTTTGGTCTATGGAGACTTAATTTCTTTTATTGTCCCCATTTCTTTCCAGCTATCACTTCCTGATTTCATTAAGACTCCTCAGACTGCATTTTTGGCAGCCATAGGGCCACTAGAAAGGGCTTTACAAAAGGTATTAAAACTTCTGAAACCCTCCAGGCAGATGGGTCTCTCTTGAAACTTTGTGATTTATTCTGCAGAAGAACAAGCAAGCCCCTGGAGTGGAAGCAGGGGTTAGTCACTGTAAGAGAAACCCAAATGGGAACAATTCTTTTAATGAGGAAAGGAGATTTAATGTATGTCTTCATTGCTTGAGATAACACACATCCCTTTTACTTCTGCAGAGCACATAGGTTTTACTGGCTGTGACTGAGAAGCAGTTAATTTTCTAGGCAATTTCTACAAGAAAGAAAGTAAAATAATTGTATATATTTTATTTTATTTACACATTAGATCAGTGAGTTTATTTAATTTCAGGTATAGCAGCCTGAAAAGAGAAAGAATTCAAACATAATAGTCTTTAATGGGGTAATCCTAATAGAATAATATGCAAAGCAAGAGACATAATTTTCAGAGCAACTTGAAAAAGAGATTACAAGCTGGTACTTCCAGTAGGAATACATAAGAGAAATATATTTTTGTTTTCTGGTGAAATCCTGTGTCCAGTAGTGTCTGAATTTGATACTTATTAGAAACAAAGGAAAATTATTGATTGCAGGATTTGCCAATAATTAATCAGACCAACAAAACACACACATTTAGCTTCTCTCAGTTCAGAGGAAATGGAGTAATAGATATAGCTTCTCTTAGCCCAGCCATGATCACTCTGTATTCTGAAACTTTTTATTTATTTCACCTTTAACTCAATGGTAATGACAAAATGGGTAATAAAATTACCCAGCTTCCAAAAATACGTATGTCTGTCCAGATGCAGTAGCAACAGGGGGCAGCAGATCTTCAGTTGTCATAGATCCGCAACTGAGGCTCAGCTATGACAGTTTGCACAAGTCCAGTTGCTGGATCCCTCAGGTGGATTTTCCTCCTAGCTTGTCTCATTGATTCCTTGCACCTGTGTAGTAGACCAGAGCATAGCAGATGTTGCTTTCAGCAAAGAAGCAATCTTTTCAACAGTCATTGAAACAACTTAAAGCATAATAACATAAATATTTCCTAAAGCAGTTTTGGGCTTAGATTTCTGCAGGATGGGAGCCTCAGTACGCATTCATCCCTGCAGTCCCTCCACACCCACTCTCCTCTAATTGTGTGGTACAGAGGGAAATGTATCTCATATGACAGTATTTATATTGTATAAATAAGTCATTAAGTCCAAAGCCAGCCCTCAGTTATAGTGGAATCACTGTCTGAGATGAAATGTCAGTTGTGCTTAGATCCTTTAGTTCTCAACTCCGTGATAGTTTTAATCTGCTGATCCATGTTTGGATACAACAATCCTGTGTATTTTCAACATAATTCTGTCATGATCTGCTGAAAGAAGTTTAGAAAAGCTTTTCCAGTGGTTTTCAGACAAAAGCTGTTGACAATTACACCTAGATGCCTTGTTAATGTCAATTGTTTAGCAAAGATAAAATTACTGTCCAGGTTGCTGTATGCAAGTTCTTCATGAGGATTGAGCTAGACCTCTGGAGTTCAATGAATATTTGGGATATAGCATTTGTTCATTTCAAAAACTAATATTGGAAATGTAGTAGAATCTGAATGAATCAGACTACATTGCTACCTTGTGCCTTTCATCCTTCTGTTATGTATAGGGGAAATGGGGGACAAAGGACAGAAAGGCAGCATAGGACGTCATGGAAAAATTGGTCCTATTGGTTCAAAAGGTATGTTTAATTCAATTATTTCTCCATATGTGTTTTCTCCAAATGTGTGATCATTTATGTTTGAGAAAAGTCTTGGAAAATGTCTAACAAGTCTCACAGCTTACCTCAGAAGGAATTTTCTCACACTGTAGTCAGCCAGGTCACTGAGATTTCTCAACCAGTTACCTTTGCTGTGACAGTAGTACATTTAGTATTAAAGCACTGTGAGTATTCTGGTTTGAGGATGAATAAAGAACTTTGCACTGTCACACAAGTGTGTACAGTTGAAAAAGATAGGAAGATGTGCTGTACTTTGGCAGACTTTTAAGAGCCAGAAGATGTGTTTTCTTATGTTGACTGCTTCATAGGCTTCCCATGTGACTTTGGTTAAGTCATTTGGACCAGTGTTTACCTAATCATCTAGATCATGATTCAAAATTTAGGTATATCCAGCCCTTTTCCCTCTACAGCATCTGAATTTACTAGTTCTGTAAAGTTTATGAATGTCAAGAAGTGAATACTGATGCATATTATTTGGGTTCAAGTTTCACAGCTTTGGCTGGCCTTTATTGTGGAATGACTAGGACAGAAAAATCTTTATTTTTGCTTGGGCATATTTCTACTCTCCACGTTTGAATTTTACTAGAGAAAAAATAGATAAGTGCTAAATGAACTATTGACAGAAAAGGCAGCATTAACATTATGTTATTTTTCATGTCTTCAGGTGAAAAAGGAGATAATGGTGACATAGGACCACCAGGTCCTAATGGTGACCCAGGTAATCCATAACACACCTTGTTTATGTGAAAGACTTTTCATCACTAAAAATACATCTGCTTACATACTGGAGGAAATAATGAATTATTTTTGTTATCGGTACTGTAATATTTCACTGTGATATTTTCAAATGACTTAAAATCATTGAAGTTGCAGCAGTTGCTGGACTTGCAGGGTATATGCTAAAACAGTATCTCTTGCTTTCTCTGAGAAATCTCTCCAGAAGCCTAGTGGAAACTGAAGTCAGACTGTCTGTATCATTCATCACCGGGGAAAAGGGATGTCTCTGCATATCTCTCTTTGCCTTCCAGTCAACACAAATGAGCAGGTTGGATGCTCCTGCCCATCCATGGATTATAATTATGGGAGCAGGAGATTGTCAAGAACAGAAATCACAGAATAGGTCAGGTTGAAAGGGACCACATTGGGTCAGCTGGTCCAACCTCTGCTCAAGCAGGGTAATCCCAGAGCACATGGCTCAGGATTGTGTCCAGACAATTCTTGAATATCTCCAGTGAGGGAGACTCCACAACCTCTCTGGGCAATCTGTTCCTGTGCTCCGTTACCCAGACAGTAGAGAAGTTCTTCCTCATGTTCGGGAGGAACTTCCTGTGCATCAATTTCTGTCCATTGCCTCCTGTCTATTGCTTGGCACCACCAAGCAGAGCCTGGCTTGGGCTTCTAGTCACGCTCCCTTCAGATTCCTATATGGAGGTACATGGATCTTCCAGAGGTATAAGATGTTCTAGAGAAACAGCCTAGTGTATGAAGTGCAAGCCTTGCAAAAGTGGAGGTTTGAATTGGACTGAATTCATCCTTTCCTGGCAGAGTGCATTGGAGGTGCACAGATTAGATTTCCCATGAGAACATGAATTGTCACTCTAACTCTAGAGTCAGCGTGCTGTGCACCCGGCCAGCATGCACAGTTTTGCAAAGCAGGTTCCCTGTGCTCAGACTGACTTACACAATTGAGCAGAGTAGCTGGGTAGTCCAGTGCAGATTTTAATAATTGCATACAGAACTGCAAATTGTAATAAATGCAAATGGTAATTGATCCTCATTTTGAGATTTGTGGTCAGAGATGTAACAATTATTCTTTTACTGTTCACATTCAGATTATCTTTGTCAAACCTATATCAATTTGGGTTAATAGATTATTTTCTAGTGTCTAATTTTATTATCAGAAGTATTGTAAATTCTGCATTTTCAAAAACAGAGAATTGCATTTTGCAGGTAATTATGTACAATGTGTAGTTGGAATGTTGGATCTGCTGGGATATGTTCCTTGTGAAGTACTTGCAAACAATGTTTTTGTTGTGAAAGAAATCTTTGAGAAGTGGGAATTTTTAGAAAATGTTTTTAGTTAAAAAATATTGTGGGTGTTTTGCAGAGAATATCTATCTGTGTTTAGGTTAGTGCTAATTATTCAGGATGGAAGATTTGTAGGAAGTGAACTGATCTGTTCTACACAGGCCCAGACTCCCCTGAGAATCCTATAATGGTGCAGGATAGTGAAGGTTCTAATTTTCTGTCTGTTACTTGCAAGACAGCTTTCTCCAGGGCTGCCACACCGAGCCTTTTCATAAAATTGTTGAGATAATTGTTGAAATTAGGTAGCTTTTTGATTTGGGTGTGTCTATATCATTTCACAGGCATCCCTTGTGAGTGCAGTCAGCTAAGGAAGGCTATTGGTGAAATGGACATTCAAGTAGCCCAGCTGACGACAGAACTAAAATTCATAAAAAATGGTAGGTTAATTTTATATAACTGTTTTCCTTTCTTTTTTGCCTCATTTTATCGGTGTAATCGCTCGTAAAGAGTGCCACCGTTCCACATCTGACTTGTGAAGCTCTTTTGGGGTGTGCAGTGACTTGGTTTATAGAAATGCGAGTGCTCACTTTTCAGCACTGCCCTCCCCCGCAGCTGTCGCCGGCGTGCGTGAGACAGACAATAAGATATATCTGCTGGTGAAGGAGGAGAAGAGGTACAAGGAAGCCCAGCTGTACTGCCACGGACGAGGAGGGACGCTGAGCATGCCCAAGGACGAGACTGCCAACAACCTGATTGCCTCGTACATCAACCAAGCTGGGCTCACCCGAGTCTTCATTGGGATTAACGACCTGGAGAAGGAGGGGAATTTCGTCTACTCTGACCGCTCGCCCATGCAGACCTTCAACAAATGGCGCAGCGGGGAGCCCAACAACGCTTACGACGAGGAGGACTGTGTGGAGATGGTGGCGTCTGGCGGCTGGAATGACGTTGCCTGTCACATTACCATGTATTTCGTGTGCGAATTTGACAAAGAAAATGTCTAAGCTGCTCTGCTCTTTCTCTATTTTAAGAAAAATGTTTAAGGTGATACAACATGGCTACTCCGTGTTTATAGAGTTCAAGTGAAATTTTGCAAGTGTGCGGCGTCGGAGTTGTACAGCTGTAAATACAGTCTAGGTATTTCAAATATCAGAATTTACCCTTCAGAAGGGAAGAGCAGTAATAAGGCATAGCTTGGCTGGCTTTTTCTTTATTTAGGAAAATATATCTGTTTAGATAAAAATGTGCTTTGGGGCTAAATTTTGCCCTTACAACAGTTAACAAATGTTAATATGACTGTAAGGGAAGGCAGAATTTGGCCTCTAGTTGTTAGAATGGTTAGAATTAGATTCCTGATATTCTTTTATCTTAGCAATATTTGTAGTTATAAATGCTAATAACTTGTAGTGCTACAGGGATATTTTTTCAACAAGACATATTTTGTATACTCCAGTTAATAAGTACAAATATTACTGTAGGTTTTTTGAAGGTTAAAACTTTTTTTTTTTAACTGGCCAAAGCAAATCAAAAGTCAAGATTCCTACCAGTTTTGTAATGTTTTTTCATTAAACTGTTCACAGATGTATGACCAAAAAGCATTTATGTAAACTGAATTTTATTGCTGAGGGAGGAAAAAGTCTAGTGAAAGGTGTCCCTGCCCATGGCAGGGGGTTGGAACTAAATAACTTTTAAGGTCTCTTCCAACCCAAAATATTCTATGATTCCATGATTCTATGCTATGAAAATCCTTATAATTTAGTACTAAGAGAGCTTCCATCCAGGTGGTGTTTTGGGGTTGGCTAAATGTAAAAGTAACAGTTTGATGTACTGCATTCCTTAGTTGAAAAGGACTCAGTGCATGAAGTATTTTAGACCCTGAATAATTCCCTAAAGTAAATGCTTCATATTTATTTAAGATAATCTTGGTGGATCTTGTCATCAAACAAGCCAAAATACCAGCCCTCCACAATTTAAGTCATACTTCATATATATGCAATTAAGCTTGTGAAAACACATTAGTGATCAGTTCCTTTTAGTAAGAAAACAGCTTACATTTTTACACAGATTGTTAAAACAATCCCCTGAAAAGCAGAAGAGTTTCTGAAATTTTCCTGTGTATATAGCCGTAATAAATAACCTTGCACAAATAATTTATGTACCAAATTTACAATTGCATGTGATGGAAAAAGCGATGTATATTAAAAAAAACCAAAAAAACCCCAAAAAACTCCAGCATAATTTCACAAAAGAAATTATGAATTTCTTTAAATCTTCCCAGGAGCCAGTTGCATGGCACCTCATCTTACTGTTAGGCATAGAAAAATTGAAAAAAATTTGCAAAATATCTGTGTTTCTTTAGGAATACCTTGCACAGTGTTTTAAGATGATTTTTAAGGATAAATGATCCTTGCATGACATTCTGTTCATATGCATATCTGATCATTATGGCAGATTGGCATTTAAGATATCCACAGCAGATATGGCATGTGGTCCCAGAGATTTCCTCATAGCAAGGAAACCAAATCATATCAACTCTGCTGTGCTGCAGCATGTAAACCATCAATGGCCATACAATGCTGTTCATATCCACAGACACTGACATTATTTGATTTATATACCTAAGAGAACAAACTGTTTTGTTTGATATATTTACTCTGTAAATCTCATTCCTTTATATATATATGTTTGCTATTAATTTTGGAGATCACTAGCAGTACTACAGTATCCTATAGTATTTGATTATCAGCCCAGCTCCAGAAAAATAACTCAAAACGAATGGGTTCTTTGATTGCTTTATTTTCTTTTAATAAAGATAGATATGATACCTGTGTGTTAGTCATTCTTCCAACTGCATATTTAAATCTATTAAATAATGTGAATCTCTTTCTACACTAATATTCAAGGACTCTATAGAATTTGCAGGGAGCTAACAATTCCAGTAGAGCAATTTGTTTAGAGTAGTGCTTTGAATATCAGGATTGTCTCCTGCCTGCTATAGAAATCCTCATAAACCGTTTAAATCTCCAACATACTTTTGTAAAATCATTGTTGCTATATTAAAACAGTCCAAACCTGAAATACAGATATTTGAAGCTCCCTCATTATGTGTGCTGAAGTTGCTGTTTTTCACCTAGGTTTTGAAAGTTTCTGTTGTATTGTTCAATTTCCTCAGAAAGATGAAAAGAGGCCTTTTAGGGAGATACGAAACCTTTTGAGATGCCATAAAATGCTCCTATTTCAGCTGAAGTCACACCAGGTTTTAAAGAGTTCCTTGACATATGTAGCATTTAAACAGTCTCAGTTTCTACTAAAATTTAGCATAAAAAGTAAAAGCAATGGAAAAACATTTATTTTTCCTAGTTTTCATGTTCTTCAGGATATTTTCTTGCAGTATTTGATATGTGAGCTAGAAACTAAATTAGTTTCATTGTGGGATACCTGTACACTGGCTGCAGCACCCCTTATTTCAACATTTGGGCAAAGGGAGCAAGGCTGGTGTGTAAGGTCTGTAGCTGTCCTGCAAGGGGCAACAACAGCACATCTGATATTTACCCCTTTGAGGAACTGGGTGGGAAATGATGGAGGCATTGGAAATGAATGAGCCCTTCATAATTTCTTTCACCCTCTAGTTGCTGGTGCCTATGGGTAGACCCTTGCTGGAGGCAGAAATCAATGTTGCATGTAGTGCTCAGCCTGCATGAAACCTGCTGACATGCTTGGTAAAGTTTCCATTATTCTCCTTGGAATTTGGAACTATTGTTTTTTTTTAAAAAATTAAAGGAGTGATAAATTAATTTTGCTTGAGGTGTTTTCCATGTGCATGAAAACCTGCAATTGTAACATAATCACTCATTTTGTGTAGCTCTGCAGAAGCCTTTGGAACATGTATGTCTGGCAAGCTCAGGTGTTTCTCAGACTATTCTTATATGCTCTATTTTTGATGGATAATTTCTCCTCATAAATATATCCCCATAGCCCTAATTTGTTATATTCTTGAATAAAGAGAATTCTATAGCATTTTAAAAAGGCAACAATAGCAGTCTTTTTTTTTTTGCCCATTCAGGTTTTTGAATGACTTCTTCATGTAAAATTCAGCTGTACTCTGTACCTTTAGCTGCTAGGGCTGCGTGTTGCAGTATTGATGTCACGGCAGACATGCACTGCCCTTCTAGGAGGGGGCTTGGTGAAGATGAAGCATTTAACTGGCTGAGTCCAAGGGGACATCTTGGGAGAGCACTGGATCATGTCTCATCCATAAATATATCCCCATAGCCCTAATTTGTTATATTCTTGAATAAAGAGAATTCTGTAGCATTTTAAAAAGGCAACAATAGCAGTCTTTTTTTTTTTTTTTCTTTTTTTTTTTTTTTAATGTAGCAGCCCATTCAGGTTTTTGAATTACTTCTTCATATAAAATTCAACTGTACTCTGTACCTTTAGCTGCTAGGGCTGCGTGTTGCAGTATTGATGTCACGGCAGACATGCACTGCCCTTCTAGGAGGGGGCTTGGTGAAGATGAAGCATTTAACTGGCTGAGTCCAAGGGGACATCTTGGGAGAGCACTGGATCATGTCTCATCTGATCACCATCCAGATTTGTCACTCCACAACTTCAATGCTTGGTGGAAAGTGTTGCTCCCACTTGCCTTGTTATTCTGCTCAGCTCCTGGCTCATCATCCCTTGTGAACCAGCTGCTCCTCTCTGCTCTGACAGCTGACATGATTATCCCTGGAAATATGGGTTTGTTACAGGTTTGTTAGCAGCAGAACTTCTCCCTGACTGTGAGTTTTAAACATTCTTATATCACAGAGAAGAACTGTAAAAAAATTAATATTCATATGTGGGATATAGAGCATCCTTATTCATGTAAGTAAAACGGAATGCTTCATTTTTCATAAGCTCAGGAAATGCCAGTTCAAATATGCTTTGCAAAATAGCAGTTCACTGGACTTTTTTTCTTACAGTTCTTGATGAAAAGAGAAAGAAGACAATATTAAAATAATTTTAATTGTAAAATATGATGAAGGTTCACAGCGGAGGAAGACTTTTGAAGTAGACATTTTTAAAGATGTTTACTTTTAGAATTTTTCAGAATTTAATTTCCAAGTCCTAAAGCTTTTTTTTTGACCCATAAAGAGATTTGATTTTTATAATATTGTTAATATATTTTACACTATGCCGGTAGCAGTGATCTATATAATGTTTGATATATTTTACTTTATTCTTTAGGTCTTGATTTCCAATGGGAATAAGTTATTTTTTTGAGACTTTTGTTTGACATGCTGAAAGACTGACATTGGAGTTGTTTTTTCCTCCTGGGCCTGCTATGACACTATAAATGCCTTGAGTACAAAATAATAGATAGTTCAACCTACATTACATAGAAGGCATTCTTACTGATTATGAAAATTATTAATTTAAGTATTATGCCATATAATTAGCAGTTTATGCACTATTCCAGATGTCCAAACCAATCATTAGAAAAGATAAATACAAGCCTTTTGAAACCTGAACTCTTACAAATATACTTTCATCCTAAATTAAAACAAAAATTTGTCAAAGTAATCAAAGTAATGCAGAAATCCAGGGTTTCCCCTAGGTCTATATGCAGATCTAGTTTTTGTGGGAAACTGATTTGTGATGGTCATGACTGAATCAAACCCTTGAGCAGAGTATTAGCCAACAATGCAATGATGTGTGACTTTACCCTTTGCACTTTCTGAACTGCATTCCCTTAGCCTTTGTTGGTCCAAGAGCCAATGCCTTTCCACTGGAAATTTTGGCTTTCAATTTTTGGCTTGCCTGTGGTGCCAACAGGTTCATCACTCTACACGTCTGCCACAGATTATAGATGAAGAGATGGGATTTTTCCCACTGTGGGGACCTGGGAGTGCTTGTAAAACTGTGATGGGGAAGGTATTGTGCAAAACTGGAGCTGGCCACTCACCCCTACCTTGGGGTGCATATTCCTGGCCAGGGAGAGTCAGTCCAGCCCACCAAGGGGAAAAACTGAGCTTGTTATTGTGGGTAAAAAGAAACCAGAGTTTTAAGATTTACTTAGGGAAAAAAATGTGCAGTGAAGGGTTTTGACTATTTACAGAGTAGCTGTGAGAAAGAGCAGTTTGGTTTTAATTTTACTTTGATAAGAGAGTACAATCTGTGTGAGATGGGAGAGAAAGGGTTTGTGGAGAGGACGCAGTTGTGTGCTCAAGGTGTTTTTCCGGATGCGAGTCTCCTCCTAGCTCAGAGCTTTTCTATTGGATGAGGAGGGAATCCTCTCAAGAGGGAGAGCACAAAATGGAGAAGGTGGAAGAAGCAGTGAGTGGATGTGCATAACTGGCAGTGAGTGGGATGCCCATGAGGCAGAATGTAAATGTTACCTCCAGCCATTCTCCTGCTCCCTGCTAGGGAAATGTAATTATCCTGCCCTTTCCGTCAAAATGTCTCACTATAGCTCTGGATGGGTAACTCACAAAAATAGAGTGAGGCGACCAATTTAGCGTAATATCTGTGCCTAAGTAAAACCCACTTTGGGTCTATGGACAAATAATAGCATCCACCACACTCTGGGTATATTAATGCAGGAAATCACAAGGGATATAATTAAGCACTGCTATTCAAAGGCTAGCTATGTAGTATTGATGAGCTTCTGGATATTCTTTACATATAAAAGTGCGAATGCTGACAGGAATTCAGCAACAGAAGGTCTGGTGTGCAGCTGAATAATACAGGTGTTACCATACTATCATCTAGTGGCAGTAAGAGTAAAAATGAAGGAGCTGAGTGGTATGTTGCTTCTGCTTGCATCAGTTGCCGTGTAGTAATCACTGATGCTGTATTGAACAACTGACTTTCCAGCTCTGAAGTCTTTAAGTCTTTAGTCCACTTTCTTTCTTTTTCTTTTTTCTTTCCCCTTTGTGAAAGATTATTTTGAATTATTACAAAGAGACGTGCAATGATTTTAAGTCCAATTCTCAGGTGGCAGTTTTGACTAAGAAGTGAGAAGTGTGCTCGAATGAGCTCAATTATCATGCCTTGGAGTGAAGAAAAAGAAAACAAGTCAAGCTGTGCTCTGCAGGCCAGCATCTAAATTGCAGGTACAGATCTTCACCTGGCATCAATCAACTCCAGTGAAGTCAAATTGATTCATACCTGCTGAGGATTTGAGACAGTATTGTCATAAATTCTAGATCTATGCTTATTTTGGAAAGAAAGAGAAGTATTTTTATATTTATAATTTATTCTGAGCACTTTAAATGTTATTCAGAGTCTGAGCCACTGTAATGGGTGCATCTCCTATGAAGATTTCTGGGCAATAATCAGTTTTGAGACAAATACTGAATGTAAAATAATTGAAGTAGGTCTATGATGCAGAACTTTATCCTTGCAAGTACATAAGGGATACAATGTAGAACACAGAAGAAGCAGTAAAATCATTCAACACAAGTAATAAGTCCTCTATCATTTTATATTGTTCTGTGAATATGAAACCTTTGCTTTTTGCCATGTTTAACGTTTATCCATAGGAGAAGACAGGGTGCCATCTAGTGAAGAAAAGATTTGTTGCATATCTAAAGAACAACAAACCCAGCTTTGTTCCTGCTTTATTCTTTAGTATGAAATGAATTATATGGTCATTCTGCAAGAGGGAAAGTATGCAATATGTTAAGTCCACTGTGTTTGTAAAACACAGAAATAAAAGGAGGTATACAAATGCAAAGTACTAATTTCCTTATTATAAAATGCCATGTTAAAATGCCATACATGTTAATAACAAAATGCCATACATGTTAACTTGTTTTACTTAATCCGACTCCGTGCTTC